TTTCAATTTGTGACCTATTTATAAGGAACACCTCACTATGATAACGGCATGCATGATGTCACAAATCATTACTCTGATTGGACTAAATAACAGGGTGGAACAAAAACCAACAAAAAATGATTTAATAGAAAAAACATTATGGACATAAAATCAAACTAAGAAATGAAATTATCCAGAAAAATTAAAATTAATTTAGGTTAAGAAGGTGTCATTATCACCACTGTCAAATTGTTCAGATTTTGTAGTCTTAGCCTTAAAAATTTAATACATGAGTAAGTAAATATCACTGACAGGACCATTAGATCTACCAGGTCAATTTGGCTATTAATAGATATGAATGTATCTTATTGACTAAAACTTCCAAGGTGGAATAGCGATCTTAAAGAATACAAAATATTATACTTGAAATAAAGAATGTCAAAATACATATAAAGCAAATTTAATTAAATGTCAAAAGCTGTATTATATAGATCATCTCTCTCCATCCGTCAGTCCGTCCCCGATATACACACCAAAGTAGGTTGTATCTCTAATAGTAAACGTTGTTCTAAACATATAGTTATAATTGAATTTCTTCATGGAACTAAACTGTATTAAGTTTATTATTCATTAAAAATTGTGAAGTACTAATATCTTATGTTTTTGTCTATTTCACAGCTATATTTACTTCTTTATATCTGAAAAATACCTATATATATACATTTAGTTAAGTACCATGCAGTATATATTTAAATCTAAATAAAAAAGCGCATATACTCAACTTTCAGAATCGTCAGTCGTTTACCATCAAATTGTGTGCATTTTTTTTAACTATGATAAAAAAAACCTGATAAAGATTCATGGTTTGTTTTTAATTCTATGCTCACACCTGAATACGTCAGATATCTTTTTTAAAGATAGTACTTGTTTATATTATAAAAAGAACATATTTAGCTGATAAAAAATCGCAAATTTTCTATTTAAGAGATAAAAAACCGGATTGGACAAAATGTCTGGCTCAAATTTTTCGAAGCCCTGATATAAACGACACTTTCAGCACTTGTGTCTATCCCATGGTGGCAAATTTGTATTGGTGGAGGAAATCTGGGTACCTGGAGAGAACAACAGACCTTTGTTAGGCTCTGAAAACTGACAATCCCAGTCAATTCAGATTTAAGTTGAGCCCATCTGCACAAGTGGGATTCAAACATTCACCTGATATGAAAGTAGACTGGATAGATGCTTTTGAATTAGAAATAAGTAAAGCATCAAGCTTAGATTTAGAAATTATTATTATGGGTGATATAAATATTGACTATGCTCAAGGATGTAGTAACAACAAATGGTCCCATATGATACAGTGCTATGGTCTTGCACAACTTATTGATAATCTAACAAGAGTAACAGATAAAAGTAAAAAGATCATTGACCATATATATACAAATAAGTCCGATAATATAATTGAAACATATGTACCTTATTTGGCATTAAGTGACCATTACCCAGTATGCCTTACAAGAAAAACAAATGTTAAAGAAATACCTGATTCTAGCCACAAGATCATAACTTATAGATGTTTTAAAAAGTTTAACGAAGAGAATTTTATAAAAGAACTTCAATGTAAACCATTTAATACTGTGAAAGAAGAACATGACACAGACAAAGCTTTAAATATCTGGTATTCTCTTTTCAATAATGTTTTAAATAAGCATGCTCCAACAAAAACAAAGCGAGTCAAAAATGTTCAAAGGCCAGAATGGTTATATAACCCCTGAAATATTAACTGCCAGACAAAACAGGGATTATTACCATAAAAAGCATGATCTATACAGATACAGGTTCTGGAGGAACAAAAGCACATCACTTATAGATGATGTAAAAAACAATTTTTATGAAACATCTATTGAACAGGCTAAAAATCCAAAAGAATTATGGAAATATGTCAAGGGGCTCAACCAAACTAAAAGTCCTCCTTTTCCATCACAACTTAAGATACACAATGGTGTTATCACAGAAACTCAGCATATAGTTGATGCTTTTAACAAACAGTTTATAAATATTGCCTCGAAAGATAGCCTATAAACATCTAAATCATACAAATTTGATAGTAATAAGATTTATGAGGAGGTAGCAGCAAAAGTACCTCAAGATACTTGGTTTTACACCCCCTTGATTACAGTTGCAGAAGTTAAGGACTGCCTTAGCAATTTAAATGTTGCAAAAGCTACAGGCATTGATCAGATCTGTCCTTGCATACTTAAACTATCATCAGAAGTTATTTCACCATCAATAGCTTATATTATAAATAGGAGTATCACTGCTGGTATATTTCCTTCTGAGATTAAAAATGCCCGTGTCATGCCAAGTCATAAAAAGGGTCCTAAAGATACTGTCGACAACTATAGACCAATATCTATTTTGCCTACTCTTTCAAAGATTTTTGAAAAGCATGTCTGCAAACACCTATACCGATACCTATTAAAATATAAGCTCCTTCATGCAAGTCAGTCTGGATTTAGAAGCCACCACTCTTGTCACACTGCTTTACTAAAACTTATTGATCAGTGGTTGAAAGCCATTGATGATGGAGAAATTATAGGTATTATCTTCCTAGATTTTAAAAGAGCATTTGATCTGGTAGATCACATTATCCTTCTTCAAAAATTGCAGTGCTACAAAATTTCAAATTTATCATGTAACTGGTTTAAATCATATCTATCTCATAGATTCCAACAAGTGGAAAATGGGACAATCAAGTCAAGGGCACTAGAAATAAAATCTGGAGTACCTCAGGGCTCCATATTAGGCCCCCTTTTATTTTTATTGTTCATTAATGATTTGCCCCTTCATATAAACTCATCTCAAGCAGACCTCTATGCAGATGATACTACCATTCGGTCGTAGTCTCAATACCATCCAGGACAGCATTACAAATGATTTAGACAGAATTGAAGAATGGTGCAAGGGAAATAAGATGTATATAAATCCAACAAAAACTACATCTATGGTTATTGGTTCTAGACAGAAACTAGCAAAAACAGACCATGTTCTTAATTTGACTGTTGGTAACTCCCACATTAGAGATGTTAATGGCAAAAAGCTCCTAGGGGTTTTTATTGATGAAAATCTTGAGTGGACAGCCCAAATTAACACTTTGTGCACAAAAATCAGTACCAGGCTAAATCTTTTGTCTAGGATAAAGAAATCCCTCCCCCTGGAAACAAGAAAGTTATACTTTAATGGTTATATTCTCCCTATTTTGGATTACTGTTGTACAATTTGGGGAAACAGCAGTGACCAAAATACAAATAGATTAGATAAACTTCAAAAACAAGCAGCTAGAATTATTCTTGAACTTCCTTATGATACCCCATCTAAGACAATGTTTAAAAAGTTATCATGGCTTCCATTTAATGATCGTGTAATTTACCACAAGGCCTTATATGTTCATAAATGTTTATATGGATCTGTCCCAGAATATTTGTCTAACAAAATCTCCTATGTTACAAATAAAAATTGAATGCAACTTAGATCAAATACTACCCAATTACTTAATATACCAAAGGCAAGAACAAACACATTTAGAAGATCTTTTTCAATTCTGGCCCAACTTTATGGATTAAACTACCAGAAGCACTAAGACACATGTCAAACATAAATACATTTAAAACAAACTGCTTTAAGTTTTTACTTGAAAATCCAGGAATTATTTAAATGATTATGTATCAATTTTGATTATGTTTTCTTATGTTTATCTTTGTTATGAAGAAATTGTGTGATGCATTATGAGTGGAGTGTGAGGGCCTCAAGGGAGAATAGTGTTTGTACTAATTGAGCATATCCTCTTGAAATAAAGATTAATATTATTATTATTATTATTATAAACTAACAACATCAGTCTCGACTGTCTAGTGATTGCAGTAGATGAACTACTGAAACCACTCAGTTAAAAAGGATCCAGAAATATATATATATATGTATTATTGTAGCAACAAAATACTTCATACAAAAGGTTACCAAAAGTTTGTGTGCAATTTCATATAATATTGAACTATATAATAAATAAGTGCTAATAATGCTTTGAATTAGTAAGGTCATCAGTGAACAAATTTTGTTTTTACGGTTTTTCAAGCTTTGCTTTACAAAAGAAGAGTTTGTTTCATGAAAATAAATGAATATTATCCCTCATAGAATATATCTTGCCCAAATGGAAACTTTTGCACTATATTAATTCAGTCTAGACAATAATCCTACATTATAAAGTTTTTTTTTTGTTTTGTTTTTTTTGAGAACACTGGTACAATATTTGATTGCACGAGTTTTAATGATACAGTTACAAAACACCACACAAGAATAACTAGACAAATATTCATTTGTATTTCATAGAAAATGAAAGGATATGGAGTAAATGTACATGGGACAAAATTGCACACAATACATAGAAAACATAGAAAATTATCAATGAACAGGGCTTTTATTCCTGTTCTTCATCTTGACAGTTGATGTAGGGTCTTCAACAATGAACGAATCATTCATACCCTACAACAAGGTCAAGACGGCCCCTAGCGTCGACTTAAGCGGTACTATTGATAAAAATAAACCACAGTTTACCTTCTTGCTCCCCACCCGCCTCGGAGTGCCAACTTGTTCGATGCTTGTGTACGACTGTTCTCCAGTCGAAAGCACCAGGGATACAAGAAAAGTGCTGTAATTTTGAAAGACATCGATTGCCGCTAAAATATGCCTTGAAGTTACACATGTCGGGAGCGGTCAATGAATTGCATAATTTATAATTACGGGCGAGGTTTCTCAACATATATTTGTCATACATTGCCCAACAAAAAACCAATAATTTCGAAACAACAAATGATAGACAAAACAGTTCAGTTTATTGTCAGCAGAACATATAGTCTTATTATAGAATTTTTTATATGATGATTTCAAAAATCAGTGGCAAAGTTATCGTATATATTTGTCATCATTGATAATCTCTGAGTCTTTTAAATTGTATATAATTTTAGGGCCTCTCTATGTTTTGGTTGAATATGCATCCAATGGTAATTTGAGAGACTTTTTGCGGTCAAAGTGCTGCATTTCATTGAAAGAAAAGGACTTAATATCATTTGCATACCAAATTGCAAAGGCAATGGATTTTTTAGCGTCAAAAGAGGTTTGATTTAAAAATTTTACTTGTCATGTAAACTTGCAGTTGTAGACATTATTTTGGTATTAAGGTAGACACTGGCAATTGGATACCCAAAATGTCAGCACAAAATATCTTGTCTGAGATATTCAGTTTAGTAGTAAAGAGTTATTCCTCAAAGTTTTCAATAATAACAGACCTAATCACAAGACATCTGGTACATATAACAAGCTGTTTAATATTTTAAGTAATGGATCAATTAGACAGCTTCTTTAGATCTTTTAATAAAATTAAGACAATTATAATCCAATTATCTCCTGAGTAGCTGATTCGCTAACTTGAATAATTCTGTGCCCTGTAACAGCCTAAAGCCTATCAAGCTGATGTAGGACTGACATTAACTGTGGTTACAGATTTACTGAGGATTGCCAATTAATACTTATCCTTGAACTGATTGATAATCTTATGCAATAATTCAAAATGGGTTTATAAGAACATCAAGATTATCGTTCACTTGTTTTTGGGGCTATTTTCTGCTTGACTGTCGGTGTGAACATTGCATAACTCTATCAGACACAATTGAAACACTTCTAAAACTGCATAGGGCTTCACAAGTTTATTTTCATTCAAGATAAGTTAATATCCTATAGCAAAACCATGCATCAAAATATATGCCAATTCCCCTTTGTTCTTGTAATTATGTTATTTATATCAAGAAACTTATAAATTTTAGATAAGAAAAATTGCATACATGTGTAAGTTACGTAACACTATGGAACACAATTGATATACTCATCCAGAACTGCATATGAAATCAAAGATACACAAAATTGATAAAGACAATGATCACGTACTGCATAAAATATATTATCAGAAATAGTCTCCTCTTTTTTGTCTGTTATAATCTTCAAGTTCATAATGGTGTAACTTTCGATTTTTTCCTGTCAATAAAAACATTAAAAATAGTCAAAGGTAACATGGTAAATACCTATTCCTTTCCAATTTAATATATTTAATTTCAAAGATAAATTTACGCTAAAACATATGGAAAATGGTTTGGTGTTTTGTTAAAAATATTACAATGGCCAATTTATTCCTATGGCCAAAATCAACAAAGTGGAAAGAAAATATTGAGTCGATCATGTTTATTTGTGTTTAAATTGATCTATATGTTGTGTTCACAATGCTTCTTAAACTTGTAACCAGTTTTCAATGAAATATGAGGAAATCTTTGGAAACTAATTCAGATGTTGTGCCTTTTTTATTTCATTTTGTTAATCTGAATTGTTTTTTTAGTTTCCCCCAAAAACTTATTGGTATTTCAACAATTGGGACAGTGGGAAAAAAAAAATTGTGACATTTGTTCTCAGTTTTTTTTTTTTTATTGATTTAAATTATATAGTTCTTATGTAATAAAGATAAAAAAATATATTTGGTGAAACTAAATTAAAAAAAAGAATATTTCGGGGTCTCTTATATTGAAAATGAACAAGTTATATAGTATAACAATCATTCTTTGATTTCACAATATACCAATGTCAGTTTTGTTGATTTCAGTCAAGTTTCAATTTTGTATTATCAGGTTTGATTTATCTATTTCAGTGTGTTCACAGAGATTTAGCTGCTAGAAATGTGTTAGTTTCAGAAAACTTTGTAATGAAAATAGCAGATTTTGGTTTGACTAGAAATCTGAGCAATGTGGATTATTACAGACAGACTGGAGATGTATGTCTTTCTTTTATGATACACAATTTTGAATATTTTTTGTAGTATCTGAGTATGAATACAGGAAACCTTAATTATGTTAAGCAGGGACTATGATCTTTTTATATGTGCTTTCTATACCAACTGCACAGCATTTATAAGTAAAGTAGCATAACAAAAGTCAATCTAATGGAATCATGCAGCCCAATACAAGTTTTATCTCATTATTATTTTTTTCTGACTATATACAAAATGTATGTAAAAAAAGTCAAAGAATACATTTTTATATTAAGGGTCGTTTACCAGTGAAATGGATGGCTCCGGAAGCATTATTATACAGAAAATATACCATCAAGAGTGATGTGTAAGTTATTCATTAGTGAAAATGTTTTTATCTCTTTCAGACTAATGTGTCTAATTGTCCCCTGCGCAACGCAATGAGTTCGAAAACCATGTCAATCAATCATTTCTAAAAGAGTTATGCCCCTTGGAAACATTAATTACATGGAAAATTGCATCGGTACAATTTTTGCCTGATTTTTATGAAACTAATATCATATGTTAATATCAACAATGTCTGGAACAAATTTGAAAATCAGTGCTCATCTATTATTTTTAAAATAGTTACACCCCTTGAAAATATTAAATATATTGAAAATTGCATTGTGAGCACCCCCATGTGTACAATTCTTGCTAGATTTTTATGAAACTAATATCATATGATTATATCAACAATGTCTTGGACAAGTTAAAAAATCAGTGTCGATCAATCATTTTAAACAGAGTTATGCCCCTTGAAAATATTGATTATATGGAAATTGCATTGTGAGTGCTCTCATGTCTACAAATCTTGCCAGATTTTGATGAAATTTATATCATAGGTTTATATCAGCAATGTCTTGGACGAGTTCGAAAATTAATGCTGATCAATTATTTTTAAACGAGTAATGCCTTTGGAAACATTAATTATATGGAAAACTACATTGTTAGCACTCTCATGTGTACAATTTTTGCCAGATTTTTATGAAACTTATATCATAAGTTGATATCAACAATGTCTTGGACGAGTTTGGAAATAATTTCTGATCTAATATTTATAATGAGTTATGCCCCTTGGAAATATTATATTTTTATATAAAAATTGCATTAAATTTGCTCTCAAGCATGTCAAGCCTTCATTTCTCAAAGATATTTATAAAAAGTTTTAAAGAACCAAAAAAAAAAAAGGTTTTTTTTTTTAGTTATTGCCCTTGGACCTTGGACAGATGAAATAGGTGCAACACCTGGGACAATGGAACTCTGTTCTTTTATTTTAAATGATATTGGTCAGAAGTAAAACTGAAACTAAGAATAAAGTACTTTTGATTCATTTATCAATTTTTCTTGGATTGAGGAAATAATGTAACTATATTTTGTGATATTTTATTTCATGGATTTGCAGAATATTTTATGTAAGCCTTTAAATGGCTACGAACAGTTCAAAATACTGTTACTACAGTCAAATTCTTCTTAAAAATTTAGTACATCATTCTTTTGACTGTTTAATAAAGTCGGACATTTCCTACTTTTAATATTCAATCACATGTTATTGGTTTTTATACATCATTGACAGAAGTCTTCACAATTAACCAAAGCTTTAAGACCACACAACTGCAATGTTCAAGAATAGCTAGAGCCAGCACAAGCTATGTGAGAATTACAGCAAAAAAACAAATATACATTATCCTCCAAATAAAATTCTTGTTCTTGTATAACATGTATATGTGTTATTGAAAAAAAAGAAAGTTTAGGTCTGAAAAAAGTTGACAAAAATCATTGTCCAAGAATAAAACTTATCAAAATAAATGGTAGTGCTTTATGAAATACTGATTTTCCTAAGCTTGTGAGTCACACATATTTTTTGTGAACACTTAATTTTTTTAAGCAGACTTAAATGACATGAAACCATATATGCTCAACTTATGATATGATCCTAAATATAAAAATAAACTTACTCAATTGTAGTTGGTCATATGGAGTACTGTTATGGGAGATATTTACACTTGGAGGAATTCCTTATCCATCTGTTCCAGTGGAAAGATTATTTGAACTTTTAAAAGAAGGTCATAGAATGGGGAAACCTCCTTATGCTTCAGAAAAAATAAGTACAATGATGCAATTGTGTTGGCATGAGTATCCATCAGAGCGACCATCGTTTAATAAACTTGTTAATGAGTTAGATAAATTGTTGATGTCTATGGCCAACAGGGATGAAGTAAGTATTTATTCTGTTATATTATGGAATTAAGCTGACTGAACCTAATAAACCACCTTTTAGAATTTTTTTTCTATATTCACAAATTTTAGAGACTTTTTACGCTGACTCCCAAAATGCAAAATAAAAGGGTCACAATATCTGGCCTGGCGGGTGATATTATAATTATATCCATCCATCTGCCCAAAACACACAAATACTCAAAAATCTTTGAAAAAGTCATTTTGTTTAGACCATTTTTTACAGGATAGTGAAACTGAAGATTTCATGTAGTACTCCTTTATAAGCTTTTATTGTGACTTTTGGTGTTGTCAGACAGGGAACTACTAAATAAGATCAAATTGAAAAAATAAAGACCCCCCTGAAACAACTGGAAAATTGAAATGTGGTGTAATTTAAAATGTAGAATTGATATTAAGATATTTCTCATAAAAACAAACCAAGTAAGTGCAGTAAAAAGAAATAAGACAAACAAAAATTACAGAAGCTTAAGCTGTCCTTCAGTAATGATTATATATTTGCGCAGAAACTTAGTGGAAATTTTGTTATATTAGTAAATAATATATATATATATAAACAAGTCTAAATTGAAAACAACGTTCAAACCTATGATTGCGTTGGATAAAAACCGCAATTTTTATACGTGTGCATGCAAAACAAATTTCTTGGTAAAGGGGTCTAAATACAGCACAAACAACATTTTCCAAAAGACCAAAAAAGTAAAGTATATTTTAACAAAACGCATTTGACTAGCAGGTCGAACAACGGATGTTCTTAAACCTGCTGACTGTAATTGGTGATTGCCAAATAAAATGATCACCAGATATAACAAAATAGATCTTAAATATTAATTTAATATCAAACAGAAAACAATAAACTTTGAAAAAACATTTTTGTATAAACCAACTTTGTAAACAAATTTTATTAAAAAATATCAATAATGATCAAATAATTGTTAAGAAAACAAAATGTCAAAGCAGCTTGGTACTTAAATGGCTTAATGGTGCCAAGAAATATATCCTTTGCATGATTAAAATTTAATAAATCTTCATTTATCAAAGCTAATGAAAAATTTCCTAAACTTTAAAATGAATATATGTAATAAAAAGTAAATATTTCAAGATCTTTCTCTTATAAATTCAAACAAATGTCAACAAATTATATGTGAATTTTTGTCCTGTGACTTTTTGTCCTATCAAATTTGTGACTATCAGTCAGGGTTGGCAAAAACCCGGGTTTTATGAGTATTGCCCATCCCAGTGGAAAATACTGGGAAAACCCAGGTTTTACTGGGTAAAACTGGGCAATACTGGGTAATATACAATACTGGCCTGAATTTTTATAGGATTCATTGATCAAACACAAATGCAACATATTGATGATATTTATAAACATATTTTGATTTATAAATAAGTTTACTTGTTTGAAAGACTTATAATACAAGTGTAAAAATTTGAGAAAGTATTATTCTAGCAACTATGAGAAAAGTGTACATGTAGACACATTAGAATATATTAATGGAAAAAGCCTTTCTCAATAATTCTTCTAAAAATCTATTAAATCACCCTTCTGTCTATATTGGTCAAACTGATAACATAAAACCAAAGAATTCTTTTTTTTTCAAATATATATATAACTAATATTCATGATATTAAGAATTAACTATTACATGTAAAAAATTACTTTTAAATAATTCATATGAACATCATGATCACTAGTTTAATTAACAAATGATTAATAAGTAATTACTCAGATTAGAACACAGATATGTTTATATAACAATAATCAGCCTTTTTATTTCTATAAGTGTTAATGACATGACCCTGAAGTGTGTTTGTTGAGCAATTAATGATTGCATAGCAAATCAAATTTACAATTCACTTAAACACTGCAATAAAAGTCTTTTTTTTTCAAAGTTTGGATTATTGAAAGAATGCTTGGAAATTAACAAGGTATCCTAAAATGTGCAAATCTTGTATTCTGCCTACATAGAATTATTGGAGAAGAGAATTATCTGTATAAAATGTATATGTTTAGCTATAATAATATGAAACTACAACAAGTCTTTACTATTTTGTGTTGAGATAAGCTTAAAAAATCATATTGCCCAGTATTGCCTAGTATTACCCGTTTCTGTGATTATAGCCCAGCCCGGGAAAACCAGGACCTGGGTTTTTTTGGGCGGGTAATACTTTGCCAACCCTGCTATCAGTCCTGTGATTTAAACTTTCTGTCTGCTTACCAAAATTTATTACCTGTTGGCAGTTTTTTTTCAAACAGCTGACAGTAAGCTTTCTGTCACTTTTAAATCGTGTACATATGACACACTGTATTTGATTTTTGGTAACCTCACCAAGAAATTAAGAATTAGTCTCTTAATATAACTTCATCTTAAGCCAACTTATATGCAGATGATTCAACCATTCAAATACATGCCTGAATGACAGTTGAAGATATGAATAAATGTAAATTATATACCATTTTTGACATTATTCTGCATTGAATTCCTGAATTCATGGTGTGTTGTGACCCATATAATCCACAAAAAATAAATCTGGAGTTTTCCTCTTATTTTTACTGTTCATTAAGAATTAGCCTCTTACTATAACTTCATCTCTAGCCAAGTTTAATGCAGATGGTACAACCGTTGTTTGCACAAGTTTCATTCTCAATACCATCCTGGATAGCATTGTGAGTGATTTGAGATAAAAATGAAGAATTGTGTAAGAGAAATAAGATGTATATAAATTCTACTAAAACTACAATTATGGTCGTTGGTTCTAGACAGAAACTAGCAAAACATGTTATTTATTTTACCGTTGGTAATTCTCACATTAGAGATGTTAATGAGCAAAAACTTCTAGGGGTTTTTATTGATACAAATGGAATGGACAGTCCATATTAATGCTTTGTGAACACAAATCAGTACAAGCATAGATGCCAACCATTACAATTTTTCCATAATTGTAACGAATTACGGTGTTACGATTAACAAGTTACAGATTTACCTTCATTACCTGTCCAGAACAGTTCTCTGTTTATATATCATTTTTATACGACCACAAAGAGGTAGTATTATGTTGTCTGCGTCTGCATCTGAAGACATCTTGGTTCGCAGACAATAACTTGAGTATAAGTTCATGGATCTCTATGAAATTTTAGCACAAGGTTTCATACCACTAAAGGATGGTTGGAATTGTTTTTGGGGGCTATTGTACTTGCGGTTTTGTAATAAGAGGCCAAAAAAGGTCAGTTTTACTGGTTCATGGAAAATAAATTGGTTCACAGACATATCTTTAGTGTAAGTGTATAGATGTGTAAGAAATTTTAGTATGAGGTTCTATTCCACAATAGGAGGGTTGGGATTGATTTTGGGGGTTATTGTCTTAATGGTTTGGTAATTAGGGACCAGAAAGGGGCCAAACAATTATTTGTCTGGTTTTGTTTCGCCTTGACGGAGTCAAAAAGCGAGACATAGGTATGCTGTTTCTGGCGGCGTCGGCGGCGTCAACAATGTATTAGTTTGTGATTAGGTCTAGTTCATGGTGAACCACTAGTGGTAGGTCCATGATATTTGGTATGCAGTTGTATTAGCATTGGCACATCTCATTACCATGGAGATTATTTGGCCCCGCCCCCTCAGTCAAGGTCTATTGACTTTGAAACTTTTCATAGTTTACATGTATTAGTTTGTGATTAGGTCAATTTATGGGGAACCACTAGTGGTAGGTCAATGATATTTGGTATGCAGTTGTATAAGCATTGGCATATCTCATTTCCATGGAGATTATTGGGCTCCGACCCCTTAGTCATGGTCTATAGACTTTGAAAATTTTGCTAAGTTAACATGTATTAGTTTGTGATTAGGTCAGTTCAAGGGGAACCATAAGTGGTAGGCCAATTTTAATTGGTGTTCAATTGTATAAGCATTAGCACATCTCATTTCCATGGAGAATATTTGGCCCCGCCCCCTCAGTCATGGTCTATTTACTTTGAAACTTTACTTCACATGTATTAGTTTGTCATTAGATCAGTTTAAGATGAACTGCTAATGTTAAGTCAATGATATTTGGTATGCAAATTTATTGGCATTTGCAAGTATCGTTTCCATGGAGATTATATAGCCTCACCCCTGATCATGGTTCATTGACTTTGAAACTTTTACATAGTTTACAAGTTAATGTTTTTGTTTAGGTTTGTTTAAAGGGAACGACTTATAATAAGTCAATGGTATTTGGTATGCAGTTGTATTAGCATTGGCACATCTCATTCCATGGAGATTGTTTAGCCATGTACCTTCAGTCATGGTTCATCGACTTTGAATATTTGCATAACTGACATGTTAAAGTATTGCTATTTTAATTTCAACATTTGCATTATCAAAATTACAAAAAGGCGAGACATATCTCTGTGATAACAGTTTATATTACAATAACGAGTATAAGAGATATTTATTTGGTCAATATTTTAGCACAAGGTTCCACACCACAATAGGAAGGTTGGCTTTGATTTTGGGAGTTATTGTCATAGCTGTTAAGGAATTAGGGGCCAAAAAGGGTCGAACAAAAATATTTTTTTGTCAGGTTCACAGACAATAACTTGAGTATAAGTGTATGCATCTCTATTAAATTTTAGCACAAGGTTCCATACCACAATAGGAAGGTTGGGGTTTATTTTGGGGGGTTATTATAGTAGCTGTTTAGGAATAAGGGCCAAAAAGGGTCTAACAAAAACAATTAAAATGTCAATTGTTCTTGAACAATTGAGAGGTCTTTCCTTTTCATAATGTAAAATATATGTTTCAATAGTCGTAGAATGCATTGAAAAGCTCTTTAACACACTTAAAACCCTTAAAATATGACAAAAAACACAAAATTCGCTATTTGGGACATGACCTTGACTTTGACCTTATGATCTTTGTCAAGGTCATTGGTCCAGGATGTCATTACAAAAGACCCTATAGGTCTAGGACCTTTGGTTCAAGAGTAAAAGCTAATTTAGTCTTTTCAGAAACAGTCAATTGGGGTTATGCTCCTTACAGATAGGTCAAATCTCTTTGGTCATAATGTAAAAAATTGTTTTTGTCCTGAACATGCATAACTATTTGCCACTGGACATCAAGTTAGCAATCAATCAATAAACTAGCTTTCAGTAACTTCGAGTACTCTCAGATCTACGTGTAATGACCATAATTATACCAAAGCAGGTAGGGATTTTACAGTAGAGGATATCAGAAAATATGAATTTCTTGAATTTTTGTCACGATAGTATGAACAGAACCAAAATTCTGCATTGGGCATCAACTGTGTGTGAGTGTATGTGTTTGTGTGGCCGGGGTGGAGGTTTACGAAATCAAAAGATGGATGGTCGATGTCTAGCCCAAAGGATAGTATTATTATATATAGTAGTCTCAGTGTTTACGTGCCTATTCTTTTAATTAAGGATCGTCTATTATGTACTATCAATTAACGTATATATCAACTATCCTCAATGAGAAAGGAATAGATACAAAAATACTAAATAGGATTTACTGCTTATTAAAGGGCTACGCTGATCTACGCTGGGCAATGTATATTGTAGATAAAAATATTTTTTTTAGACTTCCGATCGTACTGCGCTAATTCACCAGGTGTTATTGTAAAATTATTTATAATTCTTCGAACTTTTCTTCATGTATATTATCATGATAAAATAACCAGTATAAAATTTAAAATTTTTTGCACACAAAATTTTGCAACTAAAATGCTGAAAACCGTTTTCCGTTGGGGGGCGTCGCCCCCCTGAACCCCTACCAGGGCTCTGCCCTGTACCTGCTGCCCAGACCCCCTGCCGCAATTTGTGCCTACAGTTGATTGGATACCTAGCTACGCCCCTGTTATGTGACATAAAGTAATCAACAATCAATCAATCAAATAATAAATATTGTAATATATACTGCAGCTGTGCTATTTGCGCACTCAAATTGCATTGACCGTATATTCATTTGTGATATATACAGTCATGCACTGACCGTATATCGCCTTGTTTATGACGTTGACAATGTGTTTCCGTAGAGTTTTGTTTGTGACGTCAATAAAACATACAGTTTCGCAGAAAATTTTATGTTGTCCGCTCCAATTTAAAAAATGATGGTTTTTTCCATAAATATTTTTTTTGGAACACTTATAATAGGAGTTGGAGTATGTAAAGAATAACCATACATTGTCTCGAATTATAAATTTTATTTATTTACTCGGTTCAAAACAGGATAGAAATGCTTGGCACAGACTCGCTTTCTACCTGTTTCTAAGCCTTGTACAATTAAAATTGATATTTCAAGACAATGTATGGTTATTCTATATATATCAATTGAAGCTTTTTCCTGAATGAAAGGAATACATATATACAATTGTCATGATAATTTTGTATGTGTATAAACTATGTTTATTATCAGTGTTATATATTTTTCTTTTCAGGAATATTTAGATTTAAAACCACTAGAAAGTCCTACTACTAGCATTCAAGAAGAGTACATAGAAATGAACATGATTAACATGCCAACCCAAATAAAACAGTATCATAATTGGCCCCTTATGACAATCAGTTTACCAAATTGTCTGATAGAGATTATATGAACTAACCTGTGATAAGGACATTCATTATCTTGTTATGGCATTCTGGGAACAAGTTAACACTCTGGGAGATATTCAACTTTCCAATCTCAGGTATGACATATGTGACATATATATATGTCTGTGATTATCCCATCATATCATAGTCTCTCATGTACATTGCATTCATTGACAACTGTGTCTCATAAAACAAGGCAATCATATTTGTTTATCTGGATGTCTTCACATTGACTACCATTTTGTGCAATCGATGTTTTTTTTTAATAAATGCTTAATTAAAAAAATAGATGGGCTGAAATGTTGTAACCTCATCTACTGACACCAAAGAAAAAGGAATAATATAAGAAATCTGATTAGTCATGATCAGTGATTATCAGTGTGAGAGGTGTTTGATCAGGATTTACACACAAATTTATTCCAATTCATTGTAAGACCAATTAATGCACCTAAGTAACCTAGTATGAAATACATTTGGTTGTCTTTAGATGATCATGTGTTTAAGTTTCAGAGCTACAACTTTATTTGTCACTTGTTTTTATTTCTGTTCTATTTATTCTTTTTAGAGTTTAAGTAAAACTAAATCATTTATGGTCTTGAAAATAAAAGTGTATTTTTATTGATATGAAAACTTTGATTTTTGAAATTTACTGGAACTTTTTACATTTTTTAATACTAGAACTAGTACTGTTATGTAAATGTTAGGAGTTGATGTTCTGATAATTACCAATTTATTTAAGAAAGGTGTCCAATATCTTTTGAAAATTATAATTTTTTTGTTTTATTTGCAATTTAACAATTTTCTGTTTCAAAGATCAGATTTAAATTGTAACAGAGAAAATTCTGTAGAGGAGAAAGAACATCAATTAAACAGAAAAAAATCTTAAGAATATTCTTGATTCGATGTGCATGAACTTTCAAACATCAGAACGAGTGCATTAAAAGCATTGCCTACAGCACTCAAATTATTAAGTGTCCAAGAAAAGATGAATATTCTATAATTCTAGTATAACTGTCCATGTTTAATCTCATTTAATATGGTTTATTAGATCATTAGATTTTTGTTTTTTTAAATTCTTTTCAATTAAAAGAATAAAAGTTAGTCACCACAGAAAAAAACATTTACAGTGAGAAAAAGGATATGACTTTTATTTTGCAGGTAAATTTAAAGTATTCTTGTGATATTACTGTAAGGTTTTAGGTTTGTCCTTCTATTTGTTTGATTTTAATTGAAAAAAATATTGACTTTAAGACAGAAAAGTTGTGAATTTAAAATAAATAGAATAAAAAAAATTCAATCAATGTTTTCTTAATTTTGATATGTTACAACTGATGACTACAGGGAGTTCAAGCTCAAGATTGATAAATTTCTCTATTGCTGTTTAGGAGCTAAGGTCCTTGATTAATTGGAAAATGTCACTATAAGTCTTTTCTGTGCAATAAGCTGAGAACTGTTCTACCAATGATTTTAATATATGTTGTAGGGTTTCTTTCCCCTGGGTCAAAACAAGTTTTGCCACCTCTTTCTCCAATATTTTTTCACCACTCACAATTTTTTTTCGCCAACTTAATCATTACATATTTCTGTTTAGAACTTGTTTTTCTTCTTGCTTACAAAAAACATCATTTTGCAGCATTGTTGTCTTATTTATTATAATTCTGCATATCTTTTTTATAATCTACATTGTAATAAATGAACAAAGATACTGTAAAACTTGACATCTCGGAACATAGGATTCATCTTTAACCAATTTATTTGATACTTCCTGTCTACTTAAAGGTCAAAGAACAAAGTCAGAGATTTTTCTTACTTAAAAAAAAACAGTTCTCTTTTCTGGACCAAAGTAAAAGTTGATAAGTATAAATAGGTACGCTGATAAAACGATTGTGAAGTACAAACTTACAATTATTTTTATCAAAGTTGTAAATAAGTCCTTTAGTTGACATGTGATATTTTACCACACATTTTGATTTAACAATACAATTAACACCTTTATTAATTAGTTCATTGTTGGCATTTGCCATCAAATGCAATCAGGTGATAATTGATTTTCTGTCATAATGGATACGCATGACCATTTCAAAGTGAAATCGAATATTGTCTGATCAAGGAAAAAGTCAGAGACACCTGAAAAAAAATAACAAGATGGACGAAGTTTAACAAAATTGTTTTATTCCTTTCCCTAAATTCTTTCACCTGTTGTAACTGTGCGATGACCAAATTGAAGTTAAGTTTGATATTGACAATTTTTTCTTTTGCTGTTCAGGAGTTATGCTACCATTACTTGAACACTTACACTAATAGATGTAATAACCCAGTTTGTTGTCATTCTTACAGCTCTTGTTTATGTTAATTTCATCAAATTTGTTGGGTATTTAACATAAAATTTATTCATTTTTTAAAAGCAACAATTTCATTATATATATAAAGATCTGTTTAATTTGTCAAAGAACTCAACCTACATCAAACTTTTGTTAATATACCAAATAAAATGCTTGTTGTCAAACAGTTTTAAAGTTTTTAGTTTTCATAAGATAAAATTAAAAATACTTAAAAATCGTGAGAAAATAGCATTTAACCTACTACATGTACTATTGTAACTGATTTTATAGTTTAAATATTCCCTCGCAAACAAAGTTGCAAATGGATATAGTACCCCTACAGTATGTAACACCCTTGTGAACACTCAAGACTCAACACTGTTCAAGGGATGTTGACTAAATTTGGCATATACTAAGTCCTTATGAATATATATTAACCCTTTAAAATTTTGATTTCAAGGTCAAAAGTCAAGCTAACAGTGGAACTTGTAAATTATTTACATCCCTGTGAACATTAAAAGCAACATCCTTCAATGGATTTTGACCAAAATTGGTAGATACTTAGTCCTTAAAAAAATCTAAAACCCTAGTGAAATGATATTGAGCTGTTCAACATTTTGTGATTAATGGTAAGTCAATATAAATGATTTGTGTTCATGAACACATCAAGAAAAAATGTCGACTGTTTGTTAGCACCTTTTTAAATCAAATTTTCAATCACAGGGAAACACATTGTATTTTGTTATTCATCATTAATTCATAAAATAAATTGTTAAAAATTGATGACTTTAGACTCTACAATATACATGGTATATATATTATTTTCTTTAATTCTGAATTTTTTAGTTATTTGATTTTGTATGAACTATGTGTTAAAGAAGTCCGTCATATGCCACTGATGTTTGTTAAGATTATGCATAAAAAGATTTCTGGAAAATAAATGCTGTTCAGATAAGTGACTTTTTTTTCAGCCCAGCCCACATTAAAAAAAATATTTAAAGAATGTCTCAGTATGTTAATGTTATACAAGAGTTGAAGGTGTCTTGTCTTCTTTTTATGCCCCTGTGACAAAGATTTCTTTCCAGAAAATGATACGCTACAAATTCGATAAAAGATAGACTAAGCCACCCTATAAAAGGTCCTTTCGTTCTGGAGTTACGACCCTTTATATATGTAAGAAAGGATGCTCCAAAACAACTTGGAGAAGAACAGCTGAAACTGAAATGAAAGATCACTGAATCAGCTGGGGCGAGATAGAAAAGAAAGCACTGAACAGAGATGAGTGGAAAGATCTAGTCCTTGCCCTATGTGCCTCTGGGCATAACAAGGACTAGGTAGGTAGGTATATATGGAAAAATTGCTTAACTTGTCGTTTCCATTCTCAAACCTTTAGTTTGCCTCAACCAAATGTGATGAAACTTTTACACAATGCTAAGATAATTAACACAAAACTAGATCATGTTCGAATTTGTGTGGCATCACTTTTACTGTTCTCGAATTATGCCCCTTTATAAATGGAAAAATTGCTGAATTTTTCGTTTCTGTTCTCTAACTTTAGTTCACTTCAACAAATGTTAAGAAACTTATACACAATGGTATTACCATAAAACACAGATCATGTTCAAATTTGGGTGGCTTCACTTTTACAGTTCTCTAGTAATGTCCCTTTATAACGTTATATGCAAGCAGGGGCATCATCTGTGACCCATGGACACATTCTCCATTTATTTTTGTCATACAAAGTAAATTTGTTTTTTAAAGAACTCAACATTCTGAAAATTTAATGACAAATAATCTGAGTATGAAACAGAATTTTTTTACTTCGTAAGGCCCTGATCAAAATATTTTTTTCTTCAATGTTTGGAATCAGATTATTTTTTTTATTACCAAAAAAAGGAGAAAACGCTATAGGTCAGAAAGAAAAGTTGCATTTATGTGCATGATATACAAAGTACTAATATAAAAATATTGCAAGGGGACAACTATCCATCAGAGTCTTAATGACCATTCAGTCTTAAACAATGAACAAAACCCATACTGTATAGTCTGCTATATAAAGGCCATAGCGTGACAATATATTTAACAATTCAAACTTGAAAACCAATGGCCTGAAATTATGACAAACAATTTGAAAAAATCAAATATTACAAACAACAACCAATGACAACCACTGAATTGGGACAGGCACATACAAAATGTGGCAGGGTTAAACATGGACCCAAAATAATTTTCAGTTTTACATGGCCTAAGACCATTTTATACTCAGGTGGTATGCTTTTGTAACTTTTGTTTCCATTAAACGTACATTGATATATATGGAAGAATAATTTATGGTAAAAAAACTTCAAAATTTTTAAATTGGTTGAAAAAAATATATGTTTATGTAAGGCCCCCCTTCAATCGAAAATCTCTTTATTCAGGCACAGGCTCATATAAATTTGACTTTTGAATAATTTTAATAAATCAGATACATAAAATGAGTATTCAGTTGTTTTTAATACATAATAAATCATATAAAAGGGCATTTAGAAAGCAAATATTTGCAATATTTAATTTTTGTAGGCCCAGATCTTGATAGTTGAAATTGTCAAAAATATACATCCAAAGTTCAATATTAAAAGAGCCATAGTTTCTATAGGGGTAAATTCAGTAAAAAATCTCCCATTGACTTTAATGCTAATCTATGTCTTGAATTAAATTTATACCTGATTTACCTTTAGAAATTGGAAGCTTTCATATATCATTCATGAAAGTACAAATGTAGCCCTATCTTTTGCAACAATAAAAACATAGGGTCATGCGGCATTTTTGGGCATTCACATGGCCTTGTTTACAAACACTGTAGATTCGCACTTAATTCCTTTACTGACCCCCATTACTTTTCAACCCTGTAGTAAAAAAATTTAGTACATTCAGCATTCATTTTTTAATTTTTTTTAACTCTAGTTTTGATCCATCTATCAAAAATTATTTATTACAAACATTATCTACCAATCAGAAGAGCACAGGACTTCAGTTTTGTACAGAAAGCTCTCCCCCAAATGGGCGGTCCCTGATGACGTATATTTATTTACTGAATTTACCCCTATAAGGGACTTTTTAACTTCTTTTCCTATTTTTGTTGTATTAATCATGTAATGTATCCAATTTTCAAGTTCCAGTTTCAAAACAACATTCATAAAGGCTGAACTTGTAAAGAGGGAGGAAAATGTATACTACAGCCCATACTGCGGCCAATGTATATTTGGTATATAAAGTTGCACATTGACTGTTTTTAAAAGAATGGTGTAAAATACTATGCTTAATAAATATGAATTGTTTTCTGTGTTTGCTTTGATCAGTATTGCAAGTACATCTAGGAACTAAAGTCTTGATGTACTCTTAGTTAAATTTTGCCTTATATGGAAGATTTTAATTAAATACCCTGAAAAAGACCACAAAAAGACTTTTCAAAGGTTTTTTAAGCAGTTTCATACCATAAAAAACAACAATTATGTTTCATTTTACTAAATCTGTGTTTTAATTACTTGTTAATTTCACAAAAATGTCATTGTCAACCACTCTGCAGAAATTCCTGTTACCCCAACATCAGGATGGTTTCTTCGCCAAAACTAGACGGACAAAACTGAAGTAGAAAAAAGTGCCAAATATGAAAAAAATAAGACTGGGTATGACCAAACTTTGCATTTGGAACATAAAAGTAACAATTTAGAATATTAAAAAGCAATTATTTAACATAGCAATCCAATTACAAACATTTCAACACTAGTTTTATAGATGAAGGGTATATAATCATGAAAAGTTGTCTAGTATTTTTTTTTACTTAAAGAAACGCAATGAATTATGTAAAAATAAATGAATATCTTCATACGGTCAGATTATTCGAGTGTTAAAATACTTGAAAAGTGCTTATTTACAACATGATCTACAACTTAACATGGGGAACACAGCTAAAAAAAATACACTATGTCAAAGGGAGGTAATTCTGTTTTTCCATATGATTTTACACATTATTAGGAGAAATATGTGCAAAATGTGATTTAAAATGGGGAGAATATTTATGCCTTTTAATAATATCATAACTCTCAAGTGTAATTTCTATTGTTTCTTTCAATCTGGACACAAAACTGATTTTTTACCATATACTCCATGCTTCCTCCCACAGTACACTCAGAGCATCCTGGATAGCCGCGGTTAAACATAGAAATTTGTATAAAAACAACTTTAACTGGTTCCAAAAGGTTTCCATTGCATTAATATTTACAGGAAATGAGTTTTGTGATTATTGTGTGGCCTTGAACAAGTACAGTGACAGAGTGCATATTTTCCTATAGGGGTGAATTCAGTAAAAAATCTCCCATTGACTTTAATGCTAATCTATGTCTTGAATTAAATTTATACCTGATTTACCTTTAGAAATTTGAAGCTTTCATATATCATTCATGAAAGTACACATGTAGCCCTATCTTTTGCAACAATAAAAACATAGGGTCATGCGGCATTTTTGGGCATTCACATGGCCTTGTTTACAAACACTGTAGATTCGCACTTAATTCCTTTACTGACCCCCATTACTTTTCAACCCTGTAGTAAAAATAATTTAGTACATTCAGCATTCATTTTTTATTTTTTTTTAACTCTAGTTTTGATCCATCTATCAAAAATTATTTATTACAAACATTATCTACCAATCAGAAGAGCACAGGACTTCAGTTTTGTACAGAAAGCTCTCCCCCAAATGAGCGGTCCCTGATGACGTATATTTATTTACTGAATTTACCCCTATAATATATATCCTGTGGCCATTAAACTTGGTCAACTGTCTTAACTCCCTAAACTGAGGCCATGCAAAGATTTATTAATATTTGTCAAGTCTTGCCGTCTTATTAGGTCCAAGAACACAGTTAAATCCTCCTTTGATTTTCGAAATATAGTCCTTAGTGTGAACAGTCAGTGTATAACTTGCAAATTTTTTTTCATACACTTTCCTCATTTTTTTCTTTATATTTTATGCACGAAATATTAAGTAGGAGAATGAAATAACATGTTGGGTGATGAATTTTTAGGTAAAGTAGTGATTTGGTCCAGTTACAAAAGGTCAAAAATTAGTATGTCTGAAGCTGTCAAACTGCATTATAGACCCCCTTAACCTAGAATTGTCCATATTTTGAGTTAGAGCTGGAAGACTTTTTTATAATTTTGATGTAATATGTCCCAAAAGTAGTACACCACATTGTAAAAATCTTTTTGAGATAGAGCAGGTGGGATTTTTTAAGTTTGAATTAATATTGTCTAAAAGAAATGCTACGAAATAACTGTGTTCTCAGGCCTATTGTAATACGTTCCATTATAAAATCTATCCAGATAGCAAAAAATATAAACCCATAGTGCTGTAAGGTTCTGGGGAGAACCAAGTAAAGTTCTTTATACAAGTTTGAATATTGAAGTATATACATCATACATGTATATTTCTGTAAATTGCTATTTCCCTAATGATACAATTCCATGGAATTGACACTGACATTATAATGTTCATTAATACATATTTTGTACATGTAAGAAGATGTACAATGATGGTGCACATGCAAATTGATTGGTTGATTGATTTGTGGTTGTTGAACACCACTTTCAACACACTTGGCTATATCAAGATTGCATATTTTTTGTCAGAAGCCTGGGAGTCCCACTTCGGCAGGAGAACTGGCAATCCTAAGGAGTCTGTTATGCACCTGCCAAAAGGAGGGTTCGATTCAAACTCACACTCTCAGTGTTGATGGGCTAAAGATCACAGCAGATCAATTACGCTATATACATTGATATACATGTATAATCTTTGCATGGTAGCTGTAGGATGTATTTGAATAAGGTACACTTTTACATGTATCATACGCGCCAAACCTTTTGGAGCTGTGGAGATTATGCACAACAACCTTTTGATGTTGCTTTGATTTTTAT